ACACACACACACACACACACACACACACACACACACACACACACACACAGAAAAGGTCTCCTATACTGTATGCTGTCTTAGTAGTTTTCATTCAACATGACATGATTTGACTCAAAGTGGGAGAAAGAAATTTACCTCGAAAGACCATGTTGGCCTCTGGGAGCTCCATCTGGTACCCAAATGAAGTTGTGGTCTCCTGAGTCCTGGTACTGGCCTCAAACTCCACCCCGACTTGGATCTGGTGAACACAAAAACAAACATATGCACACTTACAATATGCAAAAGTAAAGGCTGTGTTTACACAGTACAGTGGTGTTTGCTGTACCTGTTTGTTGGCTCTATGATAGTAGCTAGCATGGGCACCTCCTTTCCCAGCATTCAGCGTCGCCACCCAGTTGGGTCCTGTATAGAGAGACAGAAAAAAAAGGCAAAACGCTGCTAAGTCAAGCAAAACAGATCAGGAAAGCTCAATTATATGAGGTGTTGAAAGAAGATTCACTCTCACTTGAGTACTGTCCAGCCAGAGTAAGAATGCCTCCTTCCTCTGCTCGGCCCCGATGGTAAACCAGCTCCCCTCCTAAAACCAGCCCAGATGACACACTCTGAAGGAAGTGAGCCACAAGGATAACTGTCCAAGAGAAACGCACAAAAACACATAATAGACTAGATCAACAAAAAATATCACGATTATGTATTTTCCTGCTAAATTGACAGTTGTATTCCGTTGGAAAAAGTTAATTTGACTGCTTGCAATAGTATTTCCCCTTACATCCGATGATGCTCTTATCATTCCACCTGTCATTTCTTACCCGACTCTCTGAGGACGTCGGGATTGGCTACTGTCACAGCAGCAGTGAAGTCGTTCCCTCTGTACTCAGTTTCAAACTGCCACGTCACAAACTGGGACTGCTGGGTCTAAAACACAATCAACCATTAAAATATTCAGTTTGCAGCAAACAGCATTTTAGTGTGAAGAGAAGAGGCATGTGCAGTGACAGGGTCTGAATATGAGATGGGATAGATGGCCAGACATCACAATCTCACCTGGAAGACTGTTCTGGCTCGTACTCGCTCAGTGAGATGCAGCAGAGCGTGACCGTTCAGACTGCCTGAAGAGTCCAACTCACCGATCAGTGCTGGGGCATCCTAAAAATGTGAGGCAGAATCAATATGAATATGCGGCAGCTTCATCTGTTTTCCAACATCCTATACAGCCAAGCAAATGAATGATAAAGCAGTAGAAACGTATTTAAGCTTGACCTTGTCCTTGCTGTAATCATCAGACTGCAGATGCTCTACGTGGAAACGATAGTACGAAGGATTGACAGCACTGAGGTGGAGAGTATGACTGACCTGGAAGGAAATACACACATCGTGTTATAACATTAAAGAGATTTACACCCTTATTATCTTCGCAACAAATTGTTTAAATGGAGATTCACCTTGAAGAAGCTGCTCAGAGTTTTATTGAGGATCATCTTGACTCCCTCAATCTGTTGAGGGAACACATCTGGGGAGACAAAACAGTGAGATCACTAACATTGCTACTTCACTGATTGTCTCTATGTATTGCCTGCTGCCTCTTTTTTTGGCCAGACATACCTTTGCAGCTCCTGTGGAGAGAGTGGAAGCTGCCCGGGTTGGGCAGGCGGCCATCTCTCCTCTCCCAGCGTGGCGGACTGTCCCAGTGAGCCGGATGTGCGTTCCAGTGAGAAGGAGGGGGGTCCGTGGAGAAAGGCCAGTTCTGACGGCCTGGACTGGAAGACAAAGCCAGAACACTGCCCATGTGGGCGCGACACTTCCTACAAGACGCAAAGAGACAAAAGCAGAGATCTACAATCATGCTATGACCCATTTGTTTATCTCACCTGCAGCTTGTGCCTGCATAATTCAAAGCCAGATTATGCATATGAAGAGAACAGAGGTAGACCTTTAACCATGCCCTCAAGTACAATTAAAAGAAAAACACTTTTCCTTGACAAAGCATAGAAATATAAATGTCTGTTATTGTTCAAACACCTTGCACACTCAGAGAGAGTTACAGTAGAAGTTAATTACATCAAAAATGCTAACAGAATTACGACATTCAAACTTCTATTTTCAAATGTTAGGTTCTGGTTCTTTAAATTGGTTTGTATTGGATTTAAAACTTGAGTTGCAACAAGGATTTATCATGCACCGCTGTCCGTTGTTTTCATGTGCAGGTGCAGCAATATTCCGTTAGCTAGCATGACCTTAGCGTTGGCACAAACAGCGCTAGTTGTTTAATTAACTACCTACTTCCGTTGTTATCAAGAGACGTTAAAATCCGGAGCGGAACTGAGAATCGCACATGAGGAAAAACCGTCAGGTGGAATTTCCCATTGATAAACTACTGACAGGCTACGCGAAGAGAATTGATGCTCGGGTCCACTGATGCTGCGAATAGCCCCCTCCTCCAGATGGGATGAGCCACCCTCCAAATAATTCCATCTGAAAACACGATGGGAATTATGTAGTCTGACACATTACGCTTTTAAATGTACATGTATAAAATCGGAAACTCAACGGTATACATTTTTTAGCACCTAACGTTGAATTAAAATACGTAAATGTGCATGTTGTGGGGGTTTTGTGGGCTCGAGGAAACAACGTAACGTTCCTGAAGTTTTGTTTCTTGTCGGACTATTATATCTGCGACACAGCGTTCAACGCAAGCCGCTACAGGTGGGATAATATAATTCGTCTTGCATGTACTGCAGCGCCGGTGGTATAACGAGAAGGTCAATGGCTTTGCGCGGCAGTACAGTCAGTATAATATCTGATGTTCAGTCGTCTGAGACACAAGATACAGACTTTACTCACTAAAATATGCAATTACTACGCTATTAGCCCGTGAAGAAGACTGAAGGTGGACATTGTCGCTTTTATGCGCTTTTTATCCTTCCTTTTCGCACTCAAGCTTCAAACTTCAAGATTTTTGGTGCAACCATCAGGAAATTGAGTTTCTTCTGTGTGTCCTTCCATTTCCAGTTGGACTGAACATGTGTCCTGCAAGGTCCATATTGCTGGTGGGAGAAGGGAACTTCTCCTTCTCTGCCTCTGTGAGCCAGCTGTACTCGGAGACAGAGACCTGCATAACGGCCACCTGTCTGCAGCATCAGGAGGAGGCACTGCGGCACGAAGGCGCAGCCGATCACATTAAGAGTATCCGGGACTCAGGTAGGGGGTTTGTGATTACTTATTTATATTCGTACCGAGTTGTATTTTCTGGCACTTTCTTTGTGTACACTTTTTGTGTGTTAATCAGGTGGGGCGGTGCTTTTCGAGGTGGACTGCACGAGGCTGGGGGACTGTGCGTCTCTTCGGGGCTGTGTGTTTGATCGTGTGGTGTTTAACTTCCCTCACTGCGGGAGAAAGAGTGGGGTTAAAAAGAACCGAGAACTTCTCAAAAACTTCTTCCTCAGGTAAAACTGCATCACACCTTAAGATTCAATCCATTCACAGCAGTGTCTCTACAATGACAATTTCAACATGTCGAAAAACGTTTGTGTCCAAAACTTCCTTTTTCACACTCCTTAATACTGGTTTCCAAATGTTTAGCTCAATAACTACAAATTATGAAAATAACCAGGTATCATTCTTCAGATTTTTTTCTATTTACTGACTGAAATATGTCTGTATGGCACCAAGTAGGATATCTTGGATATCTCCAAAACTAGGCAACTCTCATCAAATCAATCTATTGAATGAATAGCACTACAGGTAGGGCTGGGAAATATATCAATACTATATATCTTTCATAATCACATAGTTTTCACCCAGCTCCATTAAGTATGTACTTTTATAAACTGATGAAGTTCCCAATGTTTTCCGTTTTCCATGATGACATCCTGAATACTTTGTTTGTTGTTGTTTTTTTCTGTGCCTCCAGTTGTGGCCAGGTGTTGTCTGAAGACGGAGAGGTCCATGTTTCCTTGTGCAACGGCCAGGGTGGGACACCAGCGGACCAACCGAAGCGAGAGTGGCACAACAGCTGGCAGGTGGCTGCCATGGCAGCAGAGGCCCACCTGATCCTTAGTGATGTCCATCCTTTTGAGAGAGAGAAACACCAGAGCTACAAGTGCACTGGATACAGGTAAGGAGCAAAGGTGAGTGGAACAGGGTATAAATAGAAACAACCTCTTTGCATACTGACCCTCTCTAATGATGGCCTTGCTGTTGTACAGGAGCCAGGATAAGGGCTTTCATGTGGATAAAGGTTTACTCCACGTGTTTACCCGCAGCCTACGCTACACCCCTGCTCAGATACTTACGGTCAAGGAGGCTGTTGAAGGGGACAGAGTTCTGTACGACGTACCAGCTGAGCTCCATGATTATGTATTCAGGTACAGGAACAGAGAGACTCTCATGCTGTTTGAGTAATAAGCCACCAACGCAAAAGTTATATAACCAGGCACTTTACTGCCTCTTCTCTTTTGTCAGGGGATTTCTCTGCTCAGGCTCTGTCCACCCTGTTAGGTTGGTGCAAGATTTTCTTCTCAAAGGGCTGGCGGAGAAGTGGTCTGTCTCCATGACGACAGAGACCGTTCCCTTCCTCCTCGCGGCCGAACGGCTGCAGGCGGCCGGCTGTGACGTCGACGAGACAGACTGCTACTGGATCCGCCTGCTTCAGAAAGACGTCGACTCTGACGCAGACAAAGAAAAAGATCTGTTTTTGGACAGTCTGGGACGAACAGACACACAAGACACTCTGTCAACCATGTGTCTCACCTCCGATGAAGTGGACCAGGTGAAGAGTAAAGGAGCCGAGAGCCTGAGGTCTACATGCTTACTTGATATCGATCCTGAGGGGGAAAGTGGTGTTTATATGCTGCGTCCGTCACTACTTCCTCAGATGGAAGAGCTTCTAACTAAAAAGGAAGAGTTGGTTGACAGTGCAGGGAGTCACGGGGAGGATGAGGGGAATAATAAAAGTGTTGAAGGGGAAGGACATAAGAAGGAGGGGCCCTGTGGGGGGTGCAATGGTGTCACCGGCTCGTTGTTCGGCATTAGTGGCCTGGTGTTCAAGAACGTGCCCGTCAACCTCTGGGCTCTGCCTGCCTTTCATGAGCTCCTCCTCAGAGGTGTTTTCCCCTTACAACATGAGCCAATCAAATTGCTCGGACAGAGACTGGCGACGCTGCTCGCATCCTATGGGGTCTCCTTAGTCCCAGAACAGGGAGGTCTGCGTCTGGTGGCACCGCAGAAGGGTTTAGTCGGTAAGGTGTTTGCAAGCAATGCAAGTGACAACATCAGCGACGTCAGTGTCACCGTGTCACTTAATTTGGACCTTCTTTCCGTGCTCGCGTTCTCACTCCCCGACTGGCGGCTGCTGTGGTCACATGACCCACGCTTTTTACTGCAGTTTGAACTCCGCCCACCTCCGGGGAAACCTTTCCACCCCTTCTCCCTGTTCCCCGAGCACTTCAGCTTCGACATTAGCTTCTGGACAGGGCCGACGTGGCAGGAGAGGAAGTTCCACGCTGTGATCCGAGAGGCCAGTCACGGGACCGTGGAGCAAGTTAAACTCATGGACACGTTCTCACATCCTGACCTCAGCCAGACCAGTTACTGCTACAGACTCGTCTACCACTCGAACACACATGCTCTGTCACACACACAAGCCCTCCAGTTTCATAAAGACCTAGAAACCTGTCTCACCTCTCGGTTGCAAGTCACCATCCGGTAGCAACATTTGAATCTTAAGGAGGACCGGGGACTTCACCTCTTTTTAATTACATGTGTTTGTACCTGCTATGCAAATTATAAGCGTATAAACTGCAAAACTGTCGTTGAAGTGTTTACAGTAGTTGAGGCATTGCGTGCTATAGTTTATCAGTAAAATGTGTTTTCTGTGTATCTGTTGTGTGTGCTGCTTTAAGTATCATGTTATCAGAATCATCTTTATTGGACAGGTATGAGTCCACAAACCATGTGGTTGGTGTTTTCTGTAAATTGAAAGCAATTATACAATATGCCACAGTGTGCTTTTTGACTTATTTAACATCAATTTGTAGTCATAAAATAAAAAATTCACATGTAGTACGTGCTGTGACAAAGCATAAAAGAAAGTATTCTTGCAAGTAACAGCCCTGGAATCAAGTCCAGGAGCCAGTTTGTACCTCTGCAGCGGAGGTGAAAGTACTCCTTCAATTGAGCATAGTGACAATACCACAGTGTATAAGTATTCTGTCCTAGTAAAAATCCTGCATTCAAAATTATCACTCTTATAAGTACATGAAGACCTCATGTAAATCCCAGCATAGCTTCAAACAACTCCAATTTGAGTGGATCTTATCAGCAACTGAACACGTCTATGAGAGTATGTGGGACCTTTAATCCATAACAGTGCATCACATTTAATAAACTGATCATATGTTTTAATTGTCAGATCAAAGTATCAAGAAACTATAGCAGTTAAATAAATGTGAAGTAAAAAGTGCAATATTTCCCTCTGAAATGTAGTGGAGTATAAGTATAGCTTCAATTGGATACTTTAGTTATAGTACAAGTATCTCAGAATTGTAATTAAGTACAGTAATTTCGTTTACTTTCCATCGTTCCTCTGATGTTAGATTTGAGACCTTTGGGTAACTAGGAGAAAGAACTATGAATATTTATTATTGGAAAATAGATGTGACACTGTTGGGATTTAGTTGTGTTGAATTATAAGTAGTTTTTGATATCCTTATCCTGTTTTCTTCTTTTTGTTTTAAAGAACTGCTCCACTTAAACCCAAGTAGGCTATGAATTCATGAATTATTCATTTATAATTGTACACTGTGTTGAATGTCATTTGTTCAGCCTGCCAGCTGTGCACTGACTAAAACGCTCTAGATTATGTTGGCAGGTCACTGGAAATGATAAATTGGAAATGTACCAATTGTACTCATTACCCATCAGTATTACATTACATTACAGTCATTCAGCAGACGCTTTTATCCAAAGCGACTTACAAATATAAATAAAATATATAGCAGAGTGCGGTTGACTGAGAGGTCCTATCGCCACAGTCTCCGGTGAGGAGAGCTGTCAATAACCGGACAGCGGCGAAAATGAACGAAGCGCGACTCGGGAGCAGCGTCGGAAAAAACATGGCGGCCAAAGCGCTTCGGCAGCGAACCAGGCGAGGGAGCAGACAAGATGCAAACAACGTGAACGTCGCCGCCGAAGCTCGGCCACCGAAAGAGGAGAAAGGCGGCGATGACAGTAAAATAACAGAGACCCGGCAAGAGTGAGTATGAGCCGGGGGAGAAGAGGCGTTAGCTCGGGGCTGAGAGCTCCATCCTCCCGGTGTGACTGTGACAGCCCGAGCAGAGGAAGCTAGCTAGCTAACTAGCTACTTTGATACCTTGAGCAAGTTTGGATAACAACAACACGACAGCAACGACTGAAAATGTCCACACAACAGCACACGGGACAATGTCGTTAGAGTACTTTTAATTGCAATGACTGTTACGTTGTGTTTCCGCCCCAATAGCTAGTTGCATGTTTTTAGTAAAGCAGGTGGGTCACCTGGTCAGCTTCATTCATTCTGCTGCAACACTGACAGTTAACCTGGCACGAGGGGGGTCAACTCGTGCTCAACACGGACATAAACGTTTATTTTGATTCCGTGATTGTTGTCGTTGATACGTTGCTGAAGTCCTTTGACATTAAATGCTATCAGTGTGTAGGATGACGTGTCATAATAACACGCTGCAGCCTTGGACTGCACGTGCAACAGCTGAGCTAACAACAATGAATGGTTGTACATACTGTCTTTACTTATTGTAGTGCTGTTGTTGTGATTTAATAGCAATCTGCTCATTAAACACACTACTAGAAACTACAAATTATATAGCTATAGATTGGGTTTATCATTCAAGGATACATATGTTTACAATATGTGCAGTGAAATACAATGTTGTATGCTTTTATGACTGTGAAAACTAATTAGAAGAAAAACTATTATAAAGGATACAAATTTAAGATAAAAATATGTTATTTATTATGTAAAATGTCAACTTAAAACAGGACAGAGCCACAAGCTGAAAACGGACGTTAAATAGCAAAAACCTTGAACCGGAGAAGTAGCGGAGGACAGCTGTGCAACTGTATAATGTATCACTAGTGTTAATAGGCCTTTTGATTCTGTGAGGGATTCTGTTAACTATGCATGAAGCAGACATGATGGACTATTTGAGTACATTGTGGTACATTTAGATGTAGTGGATTGTAATAATAGTGCATATATTTGTATGTGTATTAGTATACAGCAATGGTGCATCTGTGTTTTCTTTGTTTTTTTAATAGGTCAGTAAGTCGTGGAGGGCAGGTGTGGGCTCCAGAAGGTTCCACTGCGTTTAAATGCCTGCTCTCCGCACGTTTTTGTGCAGCTCTGCTCAGCAACATCTCAGACTGCGATGAGACCTTCAACTACTGGGAGCCTGTGAGTACTGCTCACTGCTTTCAGAAATCCTGAAGTGTTATCCGTGTCAGAATGTCTTTGTTGTTCCAGCAAGATACTACTTCTCTTTCTTTTTCCGTTAACTGTTAATCTAATTGTTGTGATGACTGTTTTGACAGATGCACTACCTGCTGTACGGCACAGGGATGCAAACATGGGAATATTCTCCATTGTACGCCATCAGGTCGTACACTTACTTGTGGTTACATGCTCTTCCTGCTTGTTTGCATGCCCACGTTCTACAGACAAACAAGGTATCTATTCCAACTTCAACGTTTGTTGATATTTTAAATGACTTCAGCTATTTTTTTTCTTCCCAATTTTCTCTTCTGAAGTGAGAGGACTGTGTTTATCTTAAACTGCAAGTGGCCTCCAGTATGTAGGAACATAAACTATGTGGGGAATTATTTAAACGCATGTGCTCCTTTTTAAGAAAAATAGGTATTTTTCATTAAAAAAAAACATGAGTTCATACATGCACACACACAGCCACACACAATCAACATATCAACATGCTGGTATGTTTGCAGAAGTTTCAGCATTGTGTTCTGATTGTGTTGCAGGTGTTGGTGTTCTACTTTGTGCGATGTGTCTTAGCATTCTCCTGCTGTGTCTGTGAACTCTATTTCTACAAGTGAGTTTACATTCCTCCTAAATGCAAGTGGGCATCCTAAGTGCTTCGGCTTACACATTTAGCAATTTAACCGTTTGTTTGTGTGTGTGTGTGTGACACAGGGCAGTTTGTAAGAAGTTTGGTTTGCATGTGGGCCGTCTAATGTTGGCCTTCCTTGTCCTGAGCACGGGAATGTTCTGCTCGTCTGCAGGTTGGTCAGATTTATTTACCGAGTTAATCCATCTCCCTCTCTTGTCATCTGTTTCTTTGTTCGTTTCATTTATCTATTCAACATTCATCCCATCCCTCGTTGGTGTTTACATCCATCTTTTTTGAATAACTTGTGACAGGTTATTTTTTCTGATCCATCCTCCTCTTCTGTTGTTGCTCCTCAGCATTCCTGCCTTCCTCGTTCTGTATGTACACAACGCTGGTGGCCATGACGGGGTGGTTTCAGGACTCCACACCGTTGGCCATCGCGGGTGTGGCTGCTGGCGCCATCGTCGGATGGCCGTTCTCTGCTCTTGTCGGGTAACGGCGTAAACTAAAAGGCCTATTTTGTCGGCACTACATTCCCTCACTAAAGACGTGTCAAAATGTATTCCTCTTTAAAACAGCTTTCATTCATTTTCTGCTCAGGATTCCCATCGCCTTCGACCTGCTGGTGTTAAAAAGGCAGTGGAGAAGTTTTATCACCTGGTCAGCTGTTGCCCTGCTTCTGCTGCTGGTGAGAATATTTTTTAAAATGCAAATAAAATAAACAAGTATTTAAATGTGCATGTTACAGGACAAAGGTGGATGTATATGAATTTGTTTGCAGTGTCACAGCTGCAGTGTTTGCACAGACCACCTGTGGGAGAGTTAATCATTAATGCAGGAATATTATGGGATATTACATGTTCTCCTTCTTTTCATATGTGTCATACAGACAATTAAAATAGGCATTGTCATGGTAAATATGTGCACTCTGTAGAGATACATTTGTAACAATTCATAAAGTATATAATATAATGTTGCTAAATGTAAACGGGTCCTTTGTGTCTTTGTCAGGTACCCCTCGTGGCAGTAGACTCTTTCTTTTATGGCAAACTGGTCATTGCGCCGCTCAATATTCTGCTATATAATGTCTTCACACCACATGGACCTGATCTGTATGGTAAGCATGAACAATTTAAAGCTGCACTGTTTTTAGTTAACTCAAGCGGTCATCCCATCATCAACACTAGTATATCAAACCCTTTGAGAGAGTGCCAATCGGTTGTAAATAGACAAAGGCTTAATTCACAGACAATAACACGATATGTGTAGGACTTTTGGGCTTTTGTCTCCACCACCAGTATTCAATGTTTTGCCTGGTACAGCAAAATCTTCGACTATCCCCTCTGTGGAGTTCCCCTTAAAATAACTTGCATAACTTTCAATAACTCTATGTCCTTATTGTGATAGTTTGTACATGTGCAGTGATATTTTGTACATGTGCAGTGATATTTTGTGTCGTTTCATTTTCAGGTACAGAGCCGTGGCATTTCTACTTTGCAAATGGGATCCTGAACTTCAACCTGGTGTTTGCTTTGGCACTGTTGTCTCTGCCACTCACTGCTCTCATGGAGACACTGTTACACAGGTTCAATGGTGAGGATGGAAATGGTGCCGCAGCAGAACAGTATTTATACAGTATCATGAATGAATATAAGTGGTGTGGTAATGACACACATATGACATATAAGTTATTTTGGGAAACGGATTGAATGTGGATTTCTGTAACTGTTAACTGTTGTTATTACAAAACATCAAAAATCTACCCAGCCATTGAAGCTATCAATGGCTGGCTATGTACCCGAGTCCTCCTCGGTATAGGCATATAAGCTGTTTAAAAAGTTTGTTTTGGCTGTTATGTGAATATTCAAATTCCACGTGCTTGTGCACACATGTGTTTTCTGCAGTGCAGAACCTGGGCCGTCCATACTGGCTGACTCTGTCTCCCATGTATCTGTGGATGTTGGTTTTCTTCACCAGACCTCATAAAGAAGAGCGGTTCCTCTTTCCCATCTACCCTCTCATCTGCCTCAGTGGGGCAGTGGCCCTCTCCTCTCTACAGGTGTGTTTTGCGAAAATGCTAGTCCATGTTCGTGGGCTTCACTTGTGTTAGACCCCTTTTGAAATCTGTGGCACTTTGTTGTTGTTACTGATTCATTTTATTTCCTGCAGAAATGCTACCACTTCCTGTTCCAGCGGTACCGACTGGAGCACTACACGGTCTCCTCCAACTGGTTGGCTCTAAGCACAGTCCTGGTTTTCTCAGTGCTGTCACTGTCTCGCTCTGTCGCCCTCTTCAAAGGTGTGTGTGTGTGTACACACAGACACTAATCGCCCAGGCACCAGTGTCAGGCAACAAAAGCAAGCAGTTCAAGATAGATGAAATTATATTTTTTCCTTTGTCTACAGGCTACCACGCCCCTCTGGACCTGTACCCAGAGTTCCATCGCATCGCCAAGGATCCTACTCTTCACTCAGTCCCCGAAGGCAGACCTGTTAGTGTGTGTGTGGGCAAAGAGTGGTACCGCTTCCCGAGCAGCTTCCTGCTACCGCACAAGTCAGTATCCAGGTCTTTGTCCAAATAAGTATGGAACGCGTATTTTCTCATTTCCAGGTTGCTGATAGTTTCTCTTCCCAATCTACAGCTGGCAACTGCACTTCATTCAGTCTGAGTTTAAAGGGCAGCTACCACAGCCATATGCCTCTGGTCGTCTGGCCACACAGACCATCCCAGCTAATATGAATGACCAGAACCAGGAGGAGCCAACCAGATATGTGAGTCACTCAGACACATGTGCTCATGTGTTGACACATGGACATTGTATTTACAAGTAGTTGTCGTTTTAATTGGGAAATTTCTACTCCGGGCAGATGGATATACGGCAGTGCCACTACGTAGTGGATCTGGACTTGGATGAAGAGACGCCACTTGAGCCTCGTTATTCAGCCAGCAAAGAGGAGTGGACCATCATCGCCTTTAAGCCTTTCCTTCAAGCCTCAAGGTATTTTCCCAAATGTGTTATTTACACAGAACTATTGGGAGAAAGAAAAATACGTATCTTCAGAAGATCGTAAATATGTTAATCCTTACATTTAAAAAAGTTTAATGTATTGTAGCTTTAAAAAGAAAAGAAAATGTAAAGGTAAGAGAGTATCCTGTTGACATTTGGTAGAACTTCAGCATTGATTCAATTACTTGTCAAAACGAAATAGAAAATTACCTCCTATCTATTTTTACTGCGTACAAAGGCTTCAGAGAGACTGATGCAGTTTCTTAATAAAAACTATTTCTCTATCAGGTCATCTCCTCTCTTCAGAGCGCTCTACATCCCGTTTATATCAGACCAACACAACACCTACAGGCGCTACGTCATCTTGAAACCACGGCGGCAAAAGCAGCCTCGTAAGCGGACCCATGGCTGACCATTGAACCTCAACTTGGCCCCAAGTACAAAATCTTAACGGATATCAATCACTTACCCTCAAAACAGCTGGTATTTGTGTGTGTGTGCGCGTGATGGTTGGACACGTATGCATGCATGTTTTTCGAAGTATTTGTCTCATTTGAAGATATCAGACCCTTTAAGGACATTATTTCTGCCTTTGGGTTCATGTATGTGTGTGTGACTGAGGAGAAATGTTATGTATGTGAGCTTGGCAGGTATCGGCTGAATCTGTATGTCAAACATTTTTATCTCGGTGTGTTTGTGTTTGTCGGTGTGTAAATGAATGTTTGGTGGATGCACACTACAAGATTTGACATGTATTTAGACAGGCCGTGAGTGGTCTTTTTCATACTTTATTTGAAAATGTGGCCTGAATGGAAGTACTTTTCTGAATGATGAGTTTAAGAAATCTTGTAGTGTTTGCTTGTCTGCAGTTGAACAGTATCTTCTTGTGTGCTCTGTGTGAGTGGAGATGAATGACAGCGAGGGTGCGTTGTTAATTTAACTTGGAATGTTAATAAAAAAAAACATGATTGACTGCTAATACAAGCTTCCTGTTGTTTCATTGGGACAGTAAAATCACTTAACCACAAGCAGGCAGATTCACTTCTAATCTCATTTTATTTGAAGATGTAACAAACATACAAACCACTCTCACTTACAGGAGAGACGTCAAGGCATTATACATTCTGAATAAGTAATATTAATGATGCTATATGTTGTCATTCTCTTTGATGTCATGCCATTGCTGTGGTCACGCTGTAGGCACTCAAATTCACTGTTTGAGCCACCTTTCCACTCGCCAGCAGACAGAACGTCATTAATAAATGAGGGAACAGTGAAATTTAAATTCTAGACATCTCACAATTTAAGGTCATGTCAAAACACACTTGCAGTACATACGAAATATTCAACCCTTGCTCCCTCAAGCAGTATTGATTTATTGTGTCTTTGTCTGTTTGAGGTTTTATATTAGGTAAACATGGGTGTGATTTCAGGCACAGCAGCCACAAAAGGGTCCAAGACCTCAATAGTTAACCTACTAAGCAAGGGCAGCATGACACGGCCATGCAAACAGGCTGCTACACAAGGTCACTCATCACCATCATCATTCAGTTCATTTGTGATTTGCACAGTTAAAGATAAGCGTCAACTGAAATGATTGGAGCATAAAGAGATTCAGAGAAATTATTTAGTCTTGAGGCAGAGTCATGTAGTGTTTAATGATTACTCCAATGACTTAACTTTGTATTATACAGTAACACTACCGGGCTCATGATGGACAGTTTAATAAAAAAAACTATCCAAATCAATGCAGTAGACCCAGAGATATTGTTTTTCCCAATTTTTTTTCAAATGTGCAGCAGCATGCCCCAAGACCTTTAAACAAGCTTTGAATTGTAAAGTCAGTGGCGTTCATATTTAATATTTAATCCCAGTGTTGATTCACCACCAACGGTGTCCCCAACGATGCAAAGACTCGTTCTTCAGTATAACAGAGAAAGCTGTAGGTGTGTGGATTACTAAGAGTGACCTGGACATTGTTTCTGGAAAGATGCTGTTGAATTATTTAAATGTAATTCCCCAAAACTCTGACCGCCACAAACAACAGTTCATTCACCTCTATTTTAATTGGGTTGGAGGCAGAAATCTCAGGGAGGGATGTCACAAAACGTGAGTAATTCAAACCCGAAGTATCAGCATTGCTACACACGACTAAAGATAAGTGAGAAAATGTTTTTTGTAATTTGGGTAGGTGAGCTATAATGTTAAGATCCTATTCTGTCCGAACTAATTACCTTATACAAACAACAAATATACAGTATATATATATATATATATATATATATATATATATGAGAGAGAGAGATACAATTAGATTATTTCCTCATCTGATTTAAATCCCCTAAAAGACCTCAGAAATATACCATACAAACAATTCACGTATGTGCGTAGTTCTGTTGTCTCCGTCCACAATCACACATACACGGCTGTATACACAGTAAAGGAGCTGTTCAAAGGATCAGTAGTTTTCTCTGTTGATCCAGTCTTGTTCGTTGAAGTATCTCCTGCCGACATCAAGATTCAGGCCATTTCTGTAGCAATCCAGATTTGCTTGGTAGGATTTTCGGTTTCCATATGTTCCCAGGTTGGTTTGGTAAGTGTCTTCTTTGCCGTTGGTGATGTATGTCTGATAGAGGTCGGCTTTTACCGTGTGAGTTCCAGGCCTCAGTTTGGGATCATAGAGGTCACTCCCTCCTCTGATGCTGCCATCATGCAATCCATGGTCTGCATGCACACTGCTGCCGTAATGCTCGCTCTTTGTCGTACGACGACCTAGACTCCTGTCGTAGAACTCTCTGTGGCCGGTGCTGCACAGACTGCTGTCATTCAACTCCCTCTTTCCAGAGTGGCCCAAGCTGGTGTTGTAGAAGTCGTGGGTGGCACGACGCCCAAGGCTGAGATCATTGAGGTCAAAGTTGAGGAAGCCGCTCTCTGTGCTGGCAAGCGTCACAAAGCCGCTCTCTGTGTCCCGACCGCCCAGGTTGTCGTAGTCACCTGTCGGGGTGTCAGGGGAGGAGCATAAAAAGGAGGTGTTTTTGGTCTGCGGGCGAGCTGAAACCAGGTCATCATCCTTCTGGGAGTGAATGACATTGTAGATGTCAGTAGGAGCCGGGTTGGGGCAGAGGCCCGGCTCTGTCTGGCACAATTCTGATTTCTGCTGTTTCTTGCTTCTGTCTCACACACAGAAGAAAAGCATACATTAACATGGAAGGAAACCTGAACCAAGGTGTGGAGAATGTAACAGATGCAACAGTTTCCCTGGCGCTCATGATCTTAATTTTATATTGAAAGTGAGGTGCTGATTCAAACATTTTTTGTACTCACTCTTGTGTATCAATCCACAGTTGAAAATAGTCCCCAGCAAATGCACTACTTCCCGCCGTTTGAGTAACGCTTGCTAAACACTACAGTGCCCAGCAATCGGAGAAAATTGTATAGCTTTAAAAAAAAAATTAAACTAATATTTGTGAGCCGATTTTAAAGATTTAGTTGCCAGTAGGAAAAACTGGACTTGGAGCTGAGTGCCAAAGACTGCGTTCGGAAGATTAAAAAAGACTGAAACGTTGTTGGTTTTGGTCTTTTCAAGGGATTTGACAGACTGGCCAATCATAGCGTAGCATCTCTGAACCGGGTCCGACAAGTAACCGGCTCTGCTCCAAAGACTCTGACGCAATTGTCTCAGACTTTCTTCATTGTCAGGCTGGTTTTGTGGATTTCGAGCTAGTCATGTTTGAATGTTGTGTAAAAGTGACACCCGTTACCCAGAGAAGTTGGAAAGAGATATACTTTTCTAAAAATACGTTTCTACGTGAAAACCTGTGGAGCTAACATTAGCAGCGTAAATTAGCACATGCATATTCTAACATTTTTTTGCAAATGTTAGAATAAACAACACGATGTTGTGTCTTGATCGCTGGTCCTATGAAACGGTGAACTGTTGAACCATATTAATGTTTTTTAGTTACTGTAGAGCAAAGTGTTTATTATTTGCATTTGTTCAAGATCCTCACCGTTTGGCAAGCAGTTTGAAGCAGCAGACTCCAATCACTGTCAGTAACAGCAGTATCAGGGGAATGGTGGGAATGATGACGTAAATCAAATTAAACGCTTAAAGAGAAAGCAGACAACAGGGTGATCCAGATTTAGTGACTGTCAAGTCGTTTGGATAAGCGCATCAAAGTAGAGTGTGTGTACTCGTCTCTTTTGCAGAAAAATGTTTTATCAGTAAGAATCTTCAGTCCACCTGTACTTCTGTCCTGGTTGTGGTCACTTGGATTCCACGGCAGCGCGGATGAAGGGAAAACATCTGTAATGAGAATCATCGTATATACACTGTATAATGACCAAAGATTTTCACAGTATCCAAAATGTCCGCTACATCATATTTTGTGACATTTTACTTGTTTGAGTGGAGTTGGGAGAAGGGGATGGTTCCAGTGGCCTCTCTGTGTAGAAAAAATAATCACGATCAACTATATTCAAGTATTTTCAGAGTAAAAGAATATTGAAATTCTGTGTCAGTATTGACCTGCAGTGTATTTGCAGATGAAGTTGTTCTTGGTTTCACAATTGTCGTCGTTCCACTGGAACATGTAGAGACCCCCGAGACCGGGAGGAGCGGACGGTTGGTGATACATTACCACACACACCTCATAGCCGCATGATGGCTCATCCCAATGCCAGTTCCTACAACAAACACACACACACACACACAAAGCACATGTACACTATCACTTTTTCTCTAAGCGGCCTTAACAGAAATCTTTACAAAAACTTTAATTCCCAAATATAAATTTGGTATATAAAGGTAAAAAAACTAACTTTTTTGGAAGTCTACTAGTGAAATGTCCGGTCAGATTTTTTTATTGTATTTAGTTATTATTTGATGATATAGTTCCTAATTAAAGAATTGAAAGAGTGCTAGTTTCAGACGGTTTCATAGAAAAGGTTATTGTACAGGTATCGTGCTTGTATTTAGACATCATTTGAGGTAATCTGACGCATCGGCCTATATTTCCTTATTATCTGTAACTGTACATATATTGGCCAACAAGTAATATAAATTGCAGTACAGAAATGTAAAAATATGTTACAGGTCATTTTGAAACTGTAAAAATGTAATCCTAATCCTTTTTTGAAAAAAATATTGGAAAAAAAACTGTCAGCTGAAATATCATCAGATTTTTTTTAACTCTCAAAATCAATAAAAGCCTTAAAAAAATCAGCATTGATCATACTATGATCAACCTTTATCATTTTTAAACTTTGGCCTCTCAAAAAAATGGTTTTGTAGAAAAACATAATTTTTATAGCCTTTTCTCAAAGAAAGTTTTTTTAATAAGGCACCATATCATAAAAACAAAATTAACTTTGATGGCCGCACAAATGAGGACACATCTTTATTTACCACTCAATCCTCATCATACAATCAGCAATGAAGATTTACGAGAGCAAAACCATTTGATATTTCACTTCATGGCTCTAAAATCAACTCTTGACCCCCCGACCCTCTAGTTACCGCTCACCCACCTAAATGTGGACTTGCTGCCGTCCAGCCAGTAGTACTGCGAGGAGCAGTCTGAGCTGCTTTCCTCGTCTCCGTGATTACGGCGGAGACCGATCCAGAAGTCTCCATCAGTTGGACGGAGCTCTGCGATGAGCTGCTCTATGATCTTCTGCTCAGATGCCGACTCCACGCTCAGCAGCTGTCCTCCGTCCCGTCTGCAGGCGAGTTCTGCCTCTACGAAGTTCAGCCTCCGCCGGAGCTCAGAGAAATAGGCCAGCTTGTAACACGGCCTGCCTTTTCCTGCCTTGCACACACGTTGACCTGCACCCACGCACACAAACACGTACCCGATTACACATACTTGTCTTCACATGTTCCCTCACATATCACAAGCATGAGCTAATAGTCTATGTTAGATGTTGCACCCAATAGAGATGGAGTTAGTTGTGCAAGCCTTTAATACCGTACAATTTGTTTTTTTAGGAGGAGAGTGTTGCCTACCTCTGGCTTCGAATATATCCGCTTCAAGAGCCAAAAGTACAGCATGAAGTGAGGACGGCATGCCGTGGAGAAACCAAAGATGGATCCACAAATGAGTCAAAAGTTCATGTCTTTGAGCTGTGTTGTGTTTTCTGTGTGCAGCTTACCTGTAATGAGGCTTGTGGCTGCAGATGGATCAAAACATAAAAGCAGGAGGTGACAGAAGATTGTCAGCAGGTCCATCTTTGTCAGCTGTTCACCACCACCTCTTGTATTTTAGTTTAGTCTTTTTCATTCCGCTGTCTGGCTGTCTGGTGCAACCAAAGAACTTCAGCTGAACCTTGAGAAGTGTGTAAGAAAACGCCCTAAAAAGGATGAAATTCAAAGAGAAAGCAAAAAAGTGCTAAAGAAGCAAGTCTCCTGTTCTATATGCTGAAAAGGAGAGTATGTGAGACAGAAGGAGGAGCAGGAAGAGGAGGAGAAAAGACTGTGCGTGTTTGGGAGGGGGGCTGTAATCTGTTAAGAGCAGTTTTAATGATTGGGAGAAGAGGCTGCATCGATTGCAAGACATCTAATCGTGCAAGTGCTTCTCATCGTAAACGCTGACAAGAGGCAGATTTCACTGCGTCCTTTGTGACTTAAGCTTTGGATATTATCATTACAAAAGTGTTACATGAAAATGATCTGCTCTAACTCGATCAGGGACATTTTAAAGTATTTTTCTCGGGTCCGTCTTCACGGTGACTTGCAGTGTTCTTCCCTTCTTGTGTTTAAGTACAAAGGACAGATCCAGGAGGAGGGACAATACCGTTTCTTTAAAGCCTAAATATTTCTGTGCAACATGAAATTTGTAAAACAATTTAAATTAAGTTCAGACCGTCATCCGTTTTTGAGTCAAATGTTGCTAAATCGTAATTGGTGCATATGTGTACTAAATACATGACGTCACATTTTTCCAGCTGAGCCCTGAGCACTTCAAACCAGTGAACAGAGCAGAGATAAAAACAAAATACTGGCAATCTGTGTTTTAAAATGACTAAAAACAGTTGCATAATAATATGTGTTAATGTTGGACTCCATCACTCAGAATAATAGGCTGATGGATGGAAAAAGGATTTCAGGGTCTGTAACCATTAGTTAGGATAAATGTATCAAATGAGTCAACAAATCACAGCAGGGAATTTGACATGCAGTTCACAAGAAAACCATGTAACATCCCTGATTTTTTTCTAGTATTATTAAAAATATATTTTGTAATTTACCACTATAATAAATACGAAGCTAAAGTAAGCAGCTGGTAAGCTTTGCACAAAGTGCCACAAGTTCCCCTTTATTGTGACTTTATTTCATGTTTTTTGCCTTGACGGTCTCTCATCATTACAGATCCTGTTATCAGCTCATTATCCTCACCTGAGCTTGCCCACCATTTCCACACCTGGTCATCATCATCCTCATCAGCCACTCTTTCTCAAAGCAGCCCAGATTCCATAAGCTTCTGCCCGATTGTCTGGAGCTCCATGCCTAGCGATTCGGTGGTCCATTACCTGTTTAATCCTGCCTGCCAGTCTCCTTGCCTGTTTAGAGTTTTTGCCTGTCACTTCTTGGTTTTATCTGCCTGACCTGCCTGCCTGGTTTTTGACTCCTTGTCTTTTGGGACTGACGAAAAGGATTGGATTGGACTGATTATTGCCTTTGAATTCATGCTTTTGGGTTCAATGATTTCTGAGTTGTTACACAAAGACTGAAAACAACAGAACCACCTCTAATGCTCACAATTAATTTGTTATGATAAACAAGATATTGCATGTTACACAGCTCTAAAAGTGCTGGCTGTCTGATTTATTTTGGATCGAGCCAGGATAGCTAGTCTTTGAGCTAGTTGACCACTTTGTATTGACTGTAATCGTCTCTGTTGGACAGAGCCAGTCTGTTTCCGTCTCTTTCATGTCTTTATGTTAAGCTAATTTAGCCAGCTGCTGGCAGTATATTTACCAGAAAATCGGTGGTATCAAACTTCTCACCAAACCGTAGGATTGCAGAAAAGCATATTTCCCAAAATGTTGAACTTTTTGTTTATTAAGATTGTTAAATAATAAAAACAAATGAATAAAAAAACAGTGAACAAAACACAGAAAATAGAATTTGTTGACGAGTTTAATTTAATTTCAGAAACTCAGCCCATACAGATGCCTAATCATCCAGATGAATATTTGAAGGTACGGGTTAGTAACAAGGGAGATTTTCGTCAATATAATGCCTGCAATAAAATGTAATATTCCAGCGTCCTGCATGTGAGCGTGACCCACTCTCCTGAGCACAAATGGGGGGGAAAGTGTATGTATGCAGTTCTTAATGGTAGTCATTTCTAAAATGGGCCATATAGGTTGATTTAGTGCTCGCAGAGAGACAGATCAGCCAGAGTTTAAACAGCAGAATGCTTCATCAGGAATATGCTGTGTGTGCTAGCGTTGGGAAAAAAAGAAAGAATAGGGGCGGGGGGGTGGTGAGGCAACCCTGAATATACTGTCTGCATGCATGCTGCTGGATAGAACAGATTGGATAGAAATCAGTTTAGGTGCAACAGATTGATTTCAGTCAAATGGTTTGTTTAAATTGAAGGCGGGTAGTGGATGTTGGCATTAGCTGGTGATGCTTTGAGAAATAAAATAAAAGACCAAGAGGTAACGGAGTCCTTCAGAGGGATTCAATAAGGAATGAACTTTGTTTTAAATGTCCACCTTGTTTACAGCATCTGAGACAGAGAGAGGGTTTCATTCAATTAAGCCTCTCCCATTCGTTCCTCCTCTTACAGTCTGTCTTCCTCCGTCTCTGCCTCCTCCTCTTATCCCACTGACTTCCTCCCTCTCTCCCAATTACTTAAAAGGAAACCAGATAAATGTTCCCATGGGAAGCCAGTACATCACTGACCCAACGTACCCCCTTTACACACACACATACAGACACTCCCTCACACACAAGGGAGGCGTTTCGCCATGTCAGAGAAACCAAACATTTATGTTGAAAAGTCACCACCGTTCTTTGGTTGTTTGGACATTTAGCCAATATGCAATAGTAAAGAGAATTGCAAAACGTACATTTTAACTGGAGCGAAGCCTGACAGCGTAATTGTCAACAGATCATAGTTAGACAGTAAAATAACATTTGATTTGAAGCCATAAACTTGCCCTGACCACAACAAATCATTTGTAATGCAATGGCCTTGTTTGTTTGTGGGTTGTAAAGACACGGCAATGAATGACAAGCGCAGTTCATTTCCATCTCAAAGCCAGAAGGAGAAGGAAAAAACTTAATTACGCACCAGAAAAAGAACTTAAATTTCCAATAAATTCAATTTGAATAATCTATGCTGGCACATCGCCAGGCTGAGTGTCCGCATTGCGTAGGCCTGCACAGAGAGCTGGGAATGAGTCCTGAGTCACTGACCTGCAGGAGAGCTGGACGGCTCTATCAGCAGAGCTGCTCCATAAAAGAGTTTTCAGGGAACCTTTTAAGTGCTGTAATAATTCCTTAAGTCGCGTCTTTTTTTAGACAATTTTGGAAAAAGCCTGAGAAGGAAATAATTTAATAACCTGTGATTGTGAATGCACAAACCATGTGTAAATGAATATTATGAAAACAACATTTCTACCTCAGATTTTATTATAAATCCCTTTTTTTCTAAATAAAAGGTACTTATTTCTTTCATCATAGAGGCAATGAGAAAACATATAAGTCTGCATTATTATGCGTTGATATTGCACTGCACTAACCTGTCACGACTGTAGCCGAGCTGCTACGCCCGTGTTTGACAAGACTCTCTCATTGACCACTCTCACTGGTGCCAGTTCATGAGAGATTCATGGTGTCAGTGGTCGTCATCTAGCTTACATCTGGTTTATGAGTTTGTTTGGTCAAGTTGTGAATTGTGCATCAGCTGGTCCAAATTAAACTTTAAATCATTAAGCTCAATGCTTGGTTTTTCTGTGATGGTCCAATGTAGGGGGTAAATGACAGTATGGGTTTTTTCATGTCAGGTCATTTCATTCGTATCATATTGTTTTTGAAGATCTATGAACTATTTATGGATAAGGAGTGTCGGTTCTGGCTGATCCAGCGAATGTACTACCTAAAAAACAGAGGTAAATTATCACAATAATACAAATAATCATATAAACACACAATTTTGCCATGAAAGCAGATGTGCAAATTGTTTTGCAGCTTTGGGCACAATCGTCAATATACTGTCATATCGCTAATCGGATGAAAACTTTAAGACACAGTTTTAAGTTAATTTATTAACTTCCTTTTCACATTCTGATTGATCACTGACAATACTGAATAAATGATGATAAAGCACAGAACAATTTAACTGATAACTATTTACATTACTGTAATTGTGCATTTGGAGAACGGAGGGTATGTAGTATGCTTTTGACGAGAAAACGTTATCTGAAAATTGAATCTTTTCATTATGAACACACAGTCTGATAAAGCAAAATAACATTAACCAGTGTGTTTAAACACAAATCTCAAATGGCAAAACAAAGTACAGTATACAAATACATTTTAGTCACTCAAAAACTGAAGTGGTGCGTATTCATCCTGGTCGTCATTTCCAAGGATCGATTTGAGAAAAGGTAGAACCCTGAAAAGATTAATGTGGAAATCTCTGGAGTTCCCTTTTGACTCAACAAGACGATTACCTGGCTTGCACAAATTCGTGGTTCCCCAGCTGACCAGTGCAACCTGTGCAAGAAATTGTTGGTTAAGTCGACTATAACTAACTTACATGATCAAATTACATTAGTTAATTAATTTCATTTTATTTTCCTGTTGCCAACAGGTGAGACTCATTAGTTATATACTGTTGGATACACGGGAAAAAACGTCTGTGTACCTGTATTGTGCGAAGCTCATAGTCCTTGAACACAGCACCTCCAGAGTCACCTGTCCAAACAAACAGACCCAGATGGTTAAACCCAAAATCCACCTTAAATCCTTGATAATAATGGGCCTCAGAAGCAGCTCTCTTGAAGTAGAGAAATAACATGGAGGGAACATACCTTGACATGCTATATTATCTCTGGAACCACCAGTGCACAGGAAGTTATCAGTCATGACATCACTTAGATTACGAGTTGTTATGCCTGGTGCCTCCAGTGCATGTTTGATGCACTCACCTCTCTGCATTTGTGAGATGGAGGAAGAACCACAGCTCAAAGTGACTTTTAGGTTTGGAGTGACTAATGACGAAAGCGCACAACACAGCTCAACTCACAGTTTCACCCAGCTTAGCATGGACCTCTTTTTCAGCTACCGTGCCTCCTGTCTTGGTCAGGAAATTGAGTCTTTCAAGATGAGTCTTGAACAGAATCTGCTCTGTAATAAGAGAACACAAAAAAATACATTAAATTGTACCTGAGGCTGTAGAGGTATTTTATTAAACTGCATGGCTACTATATTGACATATTTTATATGAATAGGATGCATTTATTTGTTATTCTTGATCTTTTATGGTAGAATATAATCAAACTCATTCAAATAATACTAGGACTAATTACCTCTATACTACAGTGAAAGAACAGCCCTGCATGTTTTGAGTGTTAGCGTCTTGTATTATATCTTGCTATGTCTGCCACCATTTTCATAACTACAAATGTGCCATAGCGACACTAACCGAGGGGCGGGGAGCTTAACGAATGGTCAATTATGGTTTATTTTGAAACTGTCAGAATCAATTTAAACAGGTAGATAAGATTTTGGTGTTATCCATGAAGAGCAAGTAGTGTTGCAGCATGTTAGTCGAGTTACCTCACCTTGTTGCATGCAGGTGGATATGCCAACCAGTTTTAGAGCACCACTGGTCTCCTGAGTGCAAGGTATGCAAATAGGTCTGGAAGAGACACCAAAATCAATACAACATGGAGAGGAAAGTAAATAACTTTTAACACATGTTCATTCATAAAATACAATAGGCCTATAACGTTTTCTCGAGGACAGAATTGATCTGTTTACTAGTTTGTGCATGTGTGTTTTATTAATAAACCCCCAGGCAGGACTGACAATGTAACATCAAGTCGAGTACGAATGACAGTGTTTGTAGGACACAAATTCTCACCTTGCAGCGCTGGAGATTTTAACATCGCCGATCAGTTGGATGAGAGCCACATCATAGTCATAGAACTCCGTCACACCTTTATGCACTTTTCCCGTAATATTGTAGTTTGGGTGTAGTTTGAAAGTTTTAACTTTTTTCACTGTAAAAGAGACACAATCAAGTGTTTTCTTTATGGTTACTGAAAAACCTGGTAATATTCATGGCAATACTGTAACACCTATTGTGTTGCGTTCCGATAACTAAATAAAGTGGCATGAGTGAACAAACATTGATCATTACCTCTGCCCTGTCCATCATCTATCTCAACTCTGACGTGCTCGGGTAAAGTTTCAAATGTGAAGCAGTGAGCGGCAGTCAAGATAAACCTCGGGGTCACCAGAGAGCCCATGCAGTTCTTTAGCACTCCTTCATGCTTCAAGATTAAAAGGCAGATAAATGTATCATTTAGTTTATGACACAGAATAACACCACTGTAAAAACCAACAACATGGACAACGCGGCATGGCGGTACATAATGAACAGTTTTCTAATGAAATCCTACATCCGAAGGTCTGACTCCTCTTTGTTGTCACGAGGCCCAATATTTCTCAACAATTTCGTCTAAAGAATATTCTTTTTATTTGACTAATTGCTGTGGTCAAATACAAGCAGTGAACATTTTTGGACATTCTGATGCCTAAATCATTATGTAAACGATTGTGATTCACATATTCAGGCTTGCAAACATATTTCACAGATGAATCATGAAGTTAAATGAAATACTGAAACATTATTTACCTGGACAGTAACTACCGCCCACCATGGATACCTTTTCCTGGCGTCTTCTGTTACGTTATAGTTCTTGTAGAGACCACATAGACCCTGGACTTCTTCTTCATCTGCATAAAAAAAACAATAACCCAATCAATGTTGCTCATGTCATTATATTTAGTACATGTTGGTATCAGTTTAAAGCAAAGGCTCAATACTTTTGTTGCTTTTGTTGTTTTTATACATTAAACCTTAATAGGAACAAGAGGTAGGTGTCATCAAAAAATTGCAAGACATATTTTCACATATGATTTCAATCTGTTAATGTTTTTTCCAACTTTTTTTGGTTTCCACTGCAAAGTCACCAGCATAAAATATTGTCTTTTAGGAAGAGAAAATGGTGAAATAATAAGATTAAGAGTCTACAGCCATGCTAGCTGCTGTATGAGGCTGTAGCCGACTTATCGCAGCAGCTTTGAGCTGAAATAAAGTACAGCTGATGTGTCACAGGTTTCTGCTCATAAGCCAAAATACGGGACAAATATAAGTTTTGACCTGATGATTGCGCTTAAGAAAAAGTAAATATACTAAAGTTATTACAATTCATCATGAGGTGAACATGAATGTGCTTGTGGCACAGAAGTTAATTCAGGGAATCACCATGACATTCAATCTGTATCTCAATGGAGATACAATGCCCTTATAAGAATATAAGTATATATATATTCCTCAAATCCCCATCTTCAGCATTCTTCCTTCAATTTTAAAAGAAGACTTACCAATTATTTCATCAAAGGTCTTTTCTAAATCTTTAATGTCCTTCATTCTGAAGTAATGCTTGCCACCGCTACCCACTGCTGTGAGCCGCTGCAGGTCGTCATCAAAGATCTCAGCTCCAATGCCAAACATATAAATGTCTGCAACAGAATGAAATGTAGCAGCCAGCTAGGCCTTATTGTATAACAATGAAATGTTACTGACAATATAGCACATGGCTGAATGATGAAAATCAAAATCAAACTCACCCAGATAATCCTCTCTTGATTCAGTCTTCTGTTCAGCAGCCTGGCTCATGTAGACCATGTTCTTTATTTTTGCCACTGTAGGTTCTGGTGATCCGCCCATATTATAAGCACCTGCAATGAAACAAACCAGTGTGTTATTAAAATGATGTACAGCAGCTGTATTTGATATTCATCATTTTTTTACTGCTTTTAGCGTCTATCAATGATATTTTAACTAACATGCTTATTTACGTACCATGATTTGAAATCAGAGCTGATTTGATTGCACATACATTTTAAATCAAGGGAAGTAGAAGTAATGGGAATATAGTAAAATGGTAAATTAATGAATATTAAAGGAATAATCTGACATATTGGGAAATACATTTATTTGCTTTCTTGCTGAGTAAGATGAGGAGATTGATTTCTCAAAATGTTAAACTATTCCTTCAAAGAACTGCAGCATGAATTTTTAAATCCATTATTTGCCTTCAGCTAAGGAAATTGGCAGCTTCACTGCTGAAGTAATTTAATATGCCAAGTGGCTGATATTACCGTCTGAAAAGATCATAAGGACATGACGATGTTCCTTAAAACCTTCTTCAGCTCGTCGCTTTATGATAGACATTCTCTCCAAGAATCTCATAAAGAGGGCGTTCAAATCTGTTCCAGTGTTTCTACCTTTGAGTCAAAACACAAACACACACACACGTACACACACACACACACACACACACACACACAGTAAAACATAGGTCAAGCTGTGTAATCAAACTGTATTTTCAACAATATTTTTTTATTTATTTGACTTACCGTCCACTTTAAAATTGTTCACTTTATCCAAGATGGTGCTGGGTTCTATTTTTTTATCAAAAAAATCAAGAATGTTGACAACTTCAAACACTTCTGCTGAGAAAAAGACTATTTCATAGTTTGGAGACACAGAAAAGGATGAAATCTGTGGAGAAATAAAGCAAATCAGTTAAATACAAGGTGGATGATTTTTAGTATTGTGTGAACTTCTGACACAATTTTGTAAACACATGCAAACGTGAAATATTTTGTTGATGCAACACCTCCTAATGCATCAAACTGCTTATGGTTGTTATTTTGTTGAGTAATTGATTTCATTTATCAGCAGAAAGAGAATCCCGTAGTGTGCATTGACAGCAAGCCAAGGCACTCATGCCAAGAAGCATCAGTCAAGATTATGACACGTAATTCATAATGCAATTTACTTTTAATGGGCTGTTGTGCTGTTAGCCAAATGGTGTGGGATTATGTTTGTACATGTTATGTGCAGTGTGCCAAATGTACTTCTAACAGTGTGTCAGACAATGTAAAAGGCTTCATATGTCTGCCCACGCCAAAATATGATTCAGTTTATGGCTTTACATTGTGAAACCCACTACCAAGTAGTATCATGACAGTAACATACAAAAAGCCAATGCAGTAGAAAATAAGAGAAATGTATTTATCGCTGAAGTGTAGTGAAGTAATAAAACTGTCTGTTGCAGATGCATGGGGCCCAAAGAGTAATACATCCAATAAATAATAATAAATAATCACACGAATGAATGCAGTCATATTTTATATAATATAGCCACGAAACTGTGAAATAATTAGATACATATTTAAAACTTGACATGTTATATCATCCTGCTTCTTTTCAAAATATGAAATACCATTTAAAAATTAAATCAAGAAAAACAAGAAAAACACGGCAAAGGGAGCTCTGTCCTTTGGTGTTGATTTGATCTGAATGAGCGGCAACTTATTTAGTTCACAGGCAGAGCAGAAAACTGATTTCAATTTATACTTAAAAGTTCCTCAATATCTACATGACATTTTTGACCCATAAGTAATACTATGGCTTCCTCTGTCATACCCAATACAAACTATAACATATCATTGTATTACTTAAAAGATCAAATGATTGATCAAATGTCCAGAGTAGTCTAACATGTTTTAACAACTCAGCAAATTCATTGCCAGCATCCATCAAGTCAGTACTTTCACCCCATATGCATCCTCTAAGCTGAGCCAATAATCAGCAAAAACAATCTGACATCTCCAGTGGCAGCAAGATGCTGCTGACTGTTGGCAAATTCAGCATATTGTCAGTGATGCTATTCTGTGGCGATTGCCCTCTCACTTTAAAAAATGCTGTAAAACTTTTAACGTGTACTGATGTATAATTTTGAATAAAACTCACTTGTCGCTCATCTTTAATCAAGAGGAAAGCTGCTTGTTTCTTACCTTTGAAATAAGTGCTTTGATTGCATTTCTTGCGCTCTCGACGTGAGCGTCTTCGATGCTCTCAGAAATATCCACTGCAATATAGATGTTAAGTGTCCCATTTTTTGAAATCCTGATTTTCCTCCCGTCCTGTGTGTCATCTGAACAATCCATAACAAACACTGTTATTGTACCATACATATTAAATTACATATTCATCTGTAACTGTTTCTATAGAGCTTTGATGGAGTTAACTAAAAACTATAGATACATTATTATTATAAATGAATTATACATCCCTTTTTACAAAAATATGATGTAATAGCAGGACAATATTATATAACATTGCTATTAAATATTGCTAATATTGTGATTAGCTCCGTGAACTTACCTAAGGGCTCTAAAGTAGTGAGGCTGTCTTTGATCGCGCTGCCAAATGCCTCTGAAACCTCCAAAGAAGTGTCATAGGTGTGTCTGTCTGCAAGAAGCAAAAAGCAACATAAACAGAAATGTGTTATAATTGTGACTCGGTGTAGTGGTACTGAAGAAAAGGCAAGAAAAAATAAGCACCAAAGGCCATATCCTTGACCTACTCTGTTGTTCCTGCATTTTGTTCAGATTCTGAATCATCACTCAGAAAAACTTTACTGTGCAACATGGAGTTCCACAGGGTACAGTGTTGGGGCCACTCCTGTTCAGAACTTGCCTCCTCCATCTTGGCCACATCTTCATTGTTATGCTGACGATACACAGCTATATTTGTTTACAAAGCCCCTTTCTACTCTCCTCTCCAGTACCCTTACTGCCTGTCTCCATGATGTACTGATACGGATGAAAAACAACTACCTAAAACTCAACAGTAGTACAACTGAGATACTTCTCATTGGCTCTAAATCTACACTCTCATGGTAGTAGCAACAAGGACCAGTGTGTGAAGGCGAGTGGTCGCATCAAATAGACAAAAATGGTTATTGGTGTGCTTCGCATGTTAATACTCTCAGGTTTGAACATTAAGTTACCAAATTTTACCTTTTGGACCAAGGTATTGAGATGGGGTGACGTTCAACATATAATCTGTTTCATGTTAAGAGGCAGGTTGCTTCACCTGGCCTGTTTACCACAGAGACAGTGACATTTACTGACTCACTGACTGTCTTTAAAATAAATGAGGGATAAATAACTGAAAAGAAAAATTAAACATTGTTGCTCATTAGTTGTAACTTTTGAGTGTTTGAGAGTTCTGGGGACATTAATTCCTGTAATCTATTTGAGAGGTTCAGCCATTGTTTATGAATGTTGCAGCATTCTTTTTTTCAGGTGTGTATATTGACTACTAGAAAAACCTGTTCATAGCAAAACTTTGATCAAATGACCCAGAATGTGAACAGTTTTTTGTTTTTTGTCTTACAGTAGCATGCTGGCTCTTTGCCAGTCCACTGGCCGTTCTCCTGACACACTCTTTCTTTCGACCCCACCAAAAACAGTTTGCCGTTGCAGCTGTATTTCACTGTATCGTCAATTCCAAATATGCTCCCTGTTCTTGAGGCGCCGGCTGGGATTCCCGGATCAGCACAATTGTCCCCTGCTGTGGTAACAAAAAAAAGACCAAAGACGAGTCATGAAAACGACCGCCAATGAGAATGTATCCCAAACCTGAGTAGATGGCTGTTCAGGACTTACAGTCACGGCTACAGATGGGAGTGGAGCCGCTCCACTTCCCATTTGGTAAGCATACCCGTTTGGATGAGCCTCGCATTGTGTATCCAGAGTAGCACTCATACGTGGTCTCATTGTTCACAAAGTACCTCTCTTCAGGAGGGGAGACGTTTCCGTACTGCAGCACAAAGGGGTCAGGGCATTCAACAACTGCAAAACAAAAAGGATTTGGGTCATCATGTGGAGCAGGCAGCCCGAGGCAAAGTGAGAAACATCATCATCACATCACTCACCCTTGCATCTCTGAGGGTCATGTCTTCTGGGTGGTTTTGTCCAGGTGCCATCAGGCTGGCAATGGCGGGTCAAATAGGGGTGTGGATAGTAGCCCTCAAGACAGTGATAGATCAACATGCTTCCTATCGTCAGCTGCTTAGTCAGTGTGTAACGACCTCCTTGAATTTGTATTTTCTCCTCTGTGCAATCACAACGAACTTCACCTCCTGAAAAATAAAAGACCGTTTTGGAGCTTTACTTTAAAATATAATAATACCCTCCAGAGCTAAGTAATAGATTTCACAAGCTGCCCCTTAAACACATCAGTATCTAGCCTTTCTGACGAAGAAAACAATATTCATGCTGTTTAAAGTTGGCACTATGAACAGCACATATTAGGAACATGAACATTTACATTAAGAAAATAAGCTGACAGCAAAGTCTTCATCATAGCTTTTAAAAACTGATGATCCATTTAATAGAAACCATTTCAGGAAGAACACATTATAACTGGAGACAAAATATTGGATTTGTCCACTGGAATTTTACTTTGATAACTGTTTTCAGTAGCAGTATTACATTTCTAATAGTTATATGCATTGTTGTTATTTCTAATGCTGTTGACCAAAAATACATAATTGTTTTGAAAAAGGCTGTTGTGAATTATTTCAAGAATAAAAAATGAGAACATTTACATGTTTATTAGTTCTAGCTGTTTTACAAAATCTCAGCTCAACTTTTACAGCAAATATAAATACATGGACATTTTCGACATTTTGAAAGTAAAAATGACATATAAAGTATATTATCTTCTAAAGTAAACGTAGCTCACCCATACAGAGGAGACATGAAAGCGCAGTAAGCCAACTCCAGTGCACTGAAAATCCCATGTTGAACCTTAAACTGGTGAATTAAAGTGAGAAGATTTAGCAGGATGGACAGTGATGTTCAGAGAGAGGGACTGGAATCATAAAGTCCATCCCATTACTGATTAACTTCATGACAAATAAGAGGAAATCAATGGTATGGGTCACAGAAACTGCCCACACAACTTCCCGTAAATTCGTAACATTGTATTAGACTTTAGATTCAAACAATTAACTTTAAATCAACTTGACTAATGTAGAAACAAACAAGGGACTATATAGCAATAACTGATGCTACTTTTTGAATATCAAAACTCATTAAAAAGGAAAAGAAAACATCTTAGGTTCCTACTCCTAATACTTGACACTTTCTTCTGAAAGCCTCTAAATAAATTATTTCAATTTGGTTCAGCTTACCTGTTAATTTTGACTTTTGTAGTAAACTCCAAATCTGGTTAGAACAATCACAGTTTTTGTGTGCTGACCTTAAGTAGACTGGATTTTCCACAATGTGTACACACACTGTCACATGTTGCATAAAAAAACAAGAGTTGTGAAACCAAGAGAAAATACAAACATTGACTTCATCATTTCCCAAAACCTGCAGGCACTGTTTGGATTTGCTTATTGACACATTGATTCAATTATTGATTGAACAGCCATGCCGACTGGTTAACCGATCTTTCATTATTTGTTAAACTATCTTCTCAGTCAGCAGACGTATTTGCAAGATGTGAAGGTCTTTTTCAAATTACTCTGAATTTGTGAAAAATAAATATATTTGTGAACTGAAAGATCAACAACATGTACAAAGTCATTTTTTATTATTTTGTGTCTCTTTTTTTCGGGTCATTTTGCATCGTTTTGTGGTCAGACAGTGACAATTAAGTAATTAAATTTTTATTTTAATGTTTGAGTGAACGCACGTCTAAAGGGAAAACGTTTTTACCTGCTTTCTGTCCAAAGTGTCACATAATAGTATAGGCTGATTACTATGAAGCTCACACATTCATCCTTCCAACAACATAACTCCTTTGACTCTCCTCTAACACCACCTTCTGCACAAACTACATCACTGGCAAGGCCTTTTACAAAGCCCTCAGTCTTTGTTGCATCCAATATATTTGTAGCATGTAATAATATAGTCTGTGGGAGTTTTACAATTTCAAGCACTTAGCCTCTTGAAGCAGGGTACCTCAAAAATTGTATTACTGTAAGATGGGCCATTTTGTACATAGCAATGAAAAGAAGTTGGAAAGGCTGTCACAATGTGATTTTAGATTTTTTTTTGTTTGATTGTTTGGCAGCAGGAGGCGATAGTGCAGCAAACAAAGAACGAGTGGCCGAGACGGAGAGCCATTAAACACACGAAGAAGAAAAAGATGCAGGAAATGACGAACATGGCGGAAGTTATCGCCGGTAAAACAACAACGCGCCAAATTTGTGCTAAATTCACTGGCGTGACAGACGCAGGCACATGAAAAAGTTTGTCTGTGCACACTTATTTGGAAAACGCAGTTGCACGAGGAAGACTGTGCAGGTAAGAACAATATTTAACTAACGTTACGAGTTGACAACATTTTTCTGTTTAAGTTGCTTGTTCTGTGTCGTTCTCATCATGTAAAGACATTTAACAGACGGCGCAAGTGTTACAGTATCAGCCTGATTTAAAATAAGAGCTCTGAGTGAATATTAGCCTGGAATATATATATATATATATATATATATATATATATATATATATTATATTATGTTATGTTATATTATATAATTGTGGTATGTGTTTGTTTGACGAGGACCGTGTGTTTCTGTTTTTAGCATGGCTGTGCCTTTTGTGCAAGACTGGGACCTTGTTCAGACACTGGGAGAAGGAGCCTATGGAGAGTATGAATCCTCTTCTATCATTACATAGAAAAAAATATTATGCTCCTCTTCATCTGCAAATGATCTAAGACAACTCATTTTATTTTATTTTATTCACACCCTTGTCTTTAGGTGAAATACGTGTCATGTTTGTTCAATGCACAGAGCTTTTTACACACATTTAAGTCAATGATTGCAACAATAACACAGTTAAGCTTGTGGCCCTGCTGATGTGATGCTCCTACTACCTACTTACCTAGTTAATACAAGAATAACTTTTTATGTCTCATATGCAATAAAACACTTTGTGACTCTCCCATGTTTGACATCTTAAAAACCCCTCACTGGACTTCCCCTCTCTCGTGTGTGTGTGTGTGTGTGTGTGTGTGTGTGTGTGTGTGTGTGTGT